GTATTCAGAAAGAATAAACCAGTTTTATTTAAGAACGGACTTGTGTCGCTAAAGTTTCTTCGGAAAGAATTTTTACGGAAAATTAACTAACGACCAGAGACGTGACAATACATTTTCAAACCACCCGCTCCTTTCCTTTCAAAAACAAAGCTCGTCCTCGAGCCTAATTTCAGGGTCGTTTCGTTGGATGGCCTCATTTCGGGACACCAATTTTTCTGTTTATTCTAATTTTCTATAACTCGGGATCGAACTCAATAATTCTAGCAGGCCAACCAGGGCACTATTTTAATTGAAGTAATGTGTAAACTCTCTAACTCCAGCTTTTAAGACACTATTCCACAAGTTTTTAATAACACAAAATACCATACACATTGCAACAAAAGAAAAAGGCATATAGTAGAATTAAGCACACACGTTTAAATGTATTTCATAATATTTAACATACACTTCTAAAATAAACTAAAATTGTTTCAAAGAGTTCATAATTTCGGGTTATCTGTGATTAGAAACAAGTACAGAGTATACTTGCCACCTTACTCTTTACTACAGAACTTCTGACTTAGCAGAAAACCCTGATGTTTTTACTATAGAAATTATGTTGATCTGAAAGGTTTTCAGTTTACGTATAAATCAGTTTAAAATATATCATAAACCCTTTTGATAACTGCTATATGTATTTCGAGTAAAACTTCGAATTGTTATAAGGTGTTTTCATATATTTTCAACTTTCTTCATATATATATTTTTTTTTACCTATTTAAAACTTCTTATAAAGTTAAAAGTATTTTCATGTATTTACACCTCAACCAAGTACGGCTCAAATTACATTTGAAAATGTTGGGTTTGATTACAATAACAATAATTTCCACAAAAATAAACTAAGAAATATCACAGTAATTGTGTTCTGTTTACGATAACTGTAGGAAGTTGACATTGCCATGGGCGGAATGACGATTTCCCAGACAAGGAAAGAAGCCGTTGACTTTAGCTTTGCTTATTGCTTTGATCGAACAACTTTCGTTACTCGTGCCCCCTCGGAAGCGAGCCGGGCATGGGTAATTGTCCTTCCATTTCAGTGGGGAGTAAGTACCTTTTGATATTAACCACGAAGTTTTTCGTCTACATTTCAGTTTGTTTGTAATTAAGCACAAATGGGCTATCTGTGTTCTGCCCGATTTCTAGAGTTATAAGTCCGCAGACATACTGCTGTCCCACTGGGTGGCATTTTGTATGTTGTGAACATTTTGAAATATTAGCTAATTCTAATTTCCAGTAACCTATATGTTGAAATATCATCTGTATTTCAGTGAGTATCACTATAAGTTATGACGTTGTTCTATTGTTGGGTGAATGTTTTTGAATTATTTGATAAACATAATCCGAGATCCAGTACACGTAACGATAACTAATTTATTTATTTATTCAATAAACGTTCAGTATACTATAACCACGTTTGCATGTAGGCCTAATTTCATAAATACATTTTTTAACATAAACTCCAAAACTGCTATAGGCCTAATACACTAATAACGTTTAACAAAATTTTCTGGCTAGCTTAGCTGACAAAAGTACTTACACTCAGTGACTCGATCAATAAATCAATCAATATGTACTCGATTAACTCTTTTTTTGTATTTATACTGAACTCCCACTTCTAAAAAGTGCGGAAAGTTTCTAATGTACGTATAAACAATAGGTGTCACTTAGTTCATAAAAAATAAACCGTCTCAATGTCGCTGTTTGTCTTTTTGGTGGCTTTTTTACATTTTTTTAAAATTATATGTTTTTTATATTTCTTAAAAAAACAGATTAAACCTTAAAGAGTTTTTTTTTTCGCTGAAATTTGCATTTATTTATTATGTATCGGATTAGTTTTACTCTATAATAACTGAAATATAGGATTTATACTTCAGACATCCATAAATTTTGACGTGATTTGGTAGATTTATCCCAAAACATTATATGTCTGTATAGTTTACCCTATACATCATTGAAATACAAAATTTAATCTCCAGACATCCGTAAATTTTGCCATGATTTGGAAATCTATTTATTTAATTTCATTGTTGTGAGGGTCGGGAGTGTCTTTAGGGATAGTATGCCGGACGGTGAACCCAAGTCTCCATTTTTGAGGCCATTATAAGAGTGACGGTGAAATCCCACTGTTCGATTAAAGTATCCCAATAGGTTGCGGAGGGTGATGTTGACTAACTGCCTAACTTCTAGTCTATCAATTCAAAATTGGGTACGGCTAGCACAAATAGCTCTTGTACAGCTTTTCCCAAACTTTCGAAACGATCAGACCATATATTTGGCTGGCCCTTTATAGGGCACGAGAATGTTGTTTACAGGTTAAAGGGCCCGTCAATGGCCAGGTGGTTAGGGCGCTCGACTCGCAATCAGAGGGTCGCGGGTTCGAATCCCCGTCACACCAAAACATGCTCGTCCTTTCAGCCGTGGGGACGTTATAATGTGACGGTCAATCCCACTATTCGTTGGTAAAAGAGTAGCCCAAGAGTTGGCGGTGGGTGGTGATGACTAGCTGCCTTCCCTCTAGTCTTACACTGCTAAATTAGGGACGGCTAGCGCAGATAGCCCTCGTGTAGCTTTGCGCGAAATTCAAAAACAAACAGATTAAAGTTTAACTTTTAAAATAATTCAGAAATATTGTTGAAACATTCTGACAAGACCACTGAGAAAACATCCTCATAAGAAGTGCAGTGATTGTTGGTGATTGTATACAAATTAGATATATATATTGTTGTTTTTCACAATCTATCTATCTTAAAGAAAGTTGATTTACAAGTTTTGTACTCACTGTTTTGTAGTAACGAATATCACACAGTGTACTTATTATTGTTGGTTTTCATTTGTTTAAAAACTCGTTAATGAATAAAAATATACTTTCGTATCTTCCAATATCTCTGGAAATTCTAAGTTTGTTTCTCCGTAAACCTGGATCTGCAGCCTGTAGAATTGTAGTGATAAAAGTTTAAATTGGGAACTAAAGTTATCGGACACATGTCGCCGTTGAAAATAAACATGACAAACGTATAATTAAAATGTATATGCACATATTATTGAAACTGTAAAAATCACTAAGTCCCTTATGTTTACTGTTATTTAACTATTAAATAAACCTTTAAAGATAAACGTACGAGGGGAAATGAAAGCTAATTCCATTTGAGTTTATTGTCTTGTCAACAAAAACAATAATAATAATAATAACCGAAATAATAGTACTAAATTTACAAAATTCATTTTTTAAAAAAACACCAAATTAAAACAAATAAATAGTACAGGGAGACGAACTCTTTGCTGGATTCGTTAAACCTCGAAACATTGATCATATACAAATATTCCGTGTCGTTTGTTCTCGTAGTCGTTTGGCATAGTGGAGAAGTCACGAGATCTCTTGCAACCAAATAACAGGCACGAAGAACAACAATGACTAGTTTTGACTTAAACTGTTAAAAGGGCGGACGATTAACGATACGTTATTGGACTTTGTATAATTTATTGATAGCAAAGTAACTATTCTTATTGCTTATGTTTAGTATACACGAATACTTTTTTTTATTACAAGTTTTAAATAATAATTACAGTATCAGATATGACTAGAGAGTTAAACGTAAAGGCGACAGAGAAAAGGAAATTAAACAATGCATGGTGCAGGGCGAGCTAAAGTTAGATTAAACGGCTTTTTAACAAATTCATGCCTACGCTTTCTAAACTTTATGTTAAATTTTTAGCTGAGGAAGAAAATATCATGTGGCAGTTATGTAATGTTTATTTGAATTTAGTGTGATACCAAAATATACACGTCGGTTTGTTTTTTGTATTCTTGTGTTAAAACTGATTCGTTTCAAGTAAAACGACACGAGAAATACGTGCGGTTGTCTTTAATATTAGATCATTTTTACAACGTAATACAAGACAAATCCATTAAGTAATTTCTTGTTATTTCCAGCAGTACAGTTCGGATTTCACTTACGTACGCGCTTAACGTGTAATTTGAAAATAGAAAAAGGGTTTATAAACGTCAGATCTTATGATGAAACTTTGTAGAATGAACGACAACTGCCTGTTGTAGAGACACAAGTGTAGAGGACGACATTTTGAAAGTCTTTCGTCGGAACGTCGTTCTCTACATTTGTGTCTCTACAACAGGTAGTTGCCGTTCATTCTACAAAGTTTCATCATGAATACTCTGCCTAAACAATCTATCAAAGAATGTCAGATCTTAGTTCGAAAGATTATAATTTATCAAACTCAATAAATGCATAATTTTGAATTAGATATCAGGTTCTGATTCTACAAGAAACGCGAGACCTTTTTCGTCAACGTCTATGCAGTTCACGCAGTAGATCAGTATAGATTTATCAATTTGAAACTCGAGTATAAGCTTAGTTTGTGTACACGCATGTGTACAGTCGTGACATTCAGTAATTTGTTTTGCTAGCCACACTTAATATCATGTACGATACACATTACTATTCTATGTATTAACATAGTACATATTTAGTTTTAATACAACTGTCAATCTAGCCAGTTATTCCAATTTTAAAACTTTTGTTTTTTGCTCAGTCACTATTATAGTCTTATAACAGAACTTAAGCAAACATTGTTATATCTATAAACAGAAATAGTACCTGAATTGGAGTACTCCTTCAGTTGTCTGTTATTTTACTGGCTTAAGACTGTCATTATGTACCTTAACGTTGTACTTGCTGTTATTTTACTGGCTTAAGACTGTAATTATGTGTCTTAACGTTGTACTTGGCTGTTATTTTACTGGCTTAAGACTGTAATTATGTGTCTTAACGTTGTACTTGGCTGTTATTTTACTGGCTTAAGACTAATTATGTACCTTAACGTTGTACTTGGCTGTTATTTTACTGGCTTAAGACTGTCATTATGTGTCTTAACGTTGAACTTGGCTGCTGTTATTTTACTGGCTTAAGACTGTCATTATGTGTCTTAACGTTGTACTTGGCTGTTATTTTACTGGCTTAAGGCTGTCATTATGTGTCTTAACGTTGTACTTGGCTGCTGTTATTTTACTGGCTTAAGACTGTCATTATGTGTCTTAACGTTGTACTTGGCTGTTATTTTACTGGCTTAAGACTGTCATTATGTGTCTTAACGTTGTACTTGGCTGTTATTTTACTGGCTTAAGACTGTCATTATGTGTCTTAACGTTGTACTTGGCTGTTATTTTGCTGGCTTATGACTGTAATTATGTGATGACACATTTTGTTAATTTTGATCAACATTAGTTACTAATTTCACACTCCTGGACTGTGAGAGCTGTCACCAGAGGGTTAATGTAACACTGTTTAAACTTTGTGGGGCGCAGTTTGGCCCTGTGGTAGAGCTCAGAATTTTGGAGCTGGGATCGAATTCATGCGATACCACAGAATATTCCCCCCACTTTAAGCTGTGGGTGCGTTATATAAGGGTCAGCCAATCCCTTCGCGTAGATTATGAGTGTTATGGTGCTTCTGACCGGTTGTCTTCCCCCTTTGGTCAATAGCTCAAAATTAGTGACGGCGAAAGGTGACCTTGGTAGTTTTGTCATAAAAACTAAATACAAATGCAGCTAACCCTTGGAATAGCAGTCTGACCTGCTATATGATCTTTGAGTTAGTTAAGTTAAAAACGGACTGTTGTTTTTATTCGTTTTAACTTGAAAAATGCTTAGTCACATTTAAAATGAATCAGCTTTATCGACTTTAATGTGTTTGGTACAAATCGAACTACTGCGTAAATGTATTTATTTATTTATTTATTCGCTTTTGAATAATCGTACTTTAAAAAAATAAAGCTTGTTTAGGCAAACAATCCAGTTTTAAAACCAAGTTAGTTCATAGGTTGTTTTTTTTTTGTTTTTAGTGAATTGTACAAACGCCACCTGTTGACTCAATCCTGCAACAGAGATGGAATGATTTTGTATATTATCTTTACGGACGATTTTGCAGTGGTTAAGTATTACTTTAACAAGTTCCACAACAAAGATTTGCATAAAATATTTTAAACGTTTGCTTCCTTAAAGCCACACAGCAGGTTATCTGAGCTGCGTCCATCACGAATATACGAGCCTCGGATTTTAATATCTTAAGCCCTAGATAATATCCCTAAGCCACAGGGGTAGGCTTGATTTTCACACGACATTGTTATTATCTAATTATTTCTTATGCTGATTTTAAAATGCTTTACATTGTTTTGTAATATGTTTGACTAATGTTTTGTAATTTATTTGGCCATCCCAAATTAGAACATCTGACCAGTGCGTGTTCAATAATATATCGTGACTCGAACCTTGGCCCATCAGAATCGCAACTTCATACCCGAAGAAGACAGACCAATGTTCTGTCTAAACATTTAGTACGTTCCACTATAAATAAATCAGTTCATTGTGCTTATAAATCGTTATTTGTGTACTTATTGTTATATTAGCGCTTTATCTACTTATTATTATATTAGCGCAATGTGCATCCTCACTGAAGTATATTTATTAACATATTGTGTTCTTGCACATTTTTCGTTATTTTCTGAATTAAATGACAAATGATTTGTGTTAATAGAAACTTCTAGTAGATTGGTAATGATCCAAGTTTAGCATCTCCTTGGATCGAAACGGTAACATCCCGCATGCCAAGCGGAAGTTTTACCATGTGGGCTTAAATATTAACCCTGTACCTGTTCCTAGTTACACATTTTTTAACAACTTTATCACTACCACATTCCTCATCTCTACTCGGGTACAGATTTTTTCTGAGGTTATCCAACTTTAACATGTCCCGGGTTCGAGCCTGGTAACTCTCATATCTCAAGAGAGAGAGCTCTTCCATCTGGGTTAAGGAATTAAACCATTACTTAATAGATTTTTGTTGTTTTTCTAGGTCTGGTTGGCAATAGGCCTGGCAGTAACTCTCATATCTCAAGAGAGAGCTCTTCCATCTGGGTTAAGGGATTAAACCATTACTTAATAGATTTTTGTTGTTTTTCTAGGTCTGGTTGGCAATAGGCCTGGCAGTATCTCATATCTCAAGAGAGAGAGCTCTTCCATCTGGGTTAAGGGATTAAACCATTACTTAATAGATTTTT